TCTCTTTCATAAGAACCCTAGCCCTAGAATAAATTTAGTCTGATATAATGAAGAAATTAAACCACCAATTCAAGAAGTAATACAAAGGAGAAAAATTGAGGCTCCTCAGTGCTCGTCGCCAACTCTCTCGCTTGCGCTTCTTGATTTACTTCTCTCACACTTGATCTTGATCTCCAAGATAAACTATGAGAGAAGATGGAAGAATGTGCATTCCTTGCTAATGTTTTTCTTCCCCTTAAACACCCTCAATAACTCCTATATATAGCCTCTAGAAGTTACAAGTGAATCTCCCTTTGATTAGGTTTCCTTCAGTTTTAAAACAGAAGCGCTCGTCAAAACTCAATGAAGACCGGCGATAACACTGGCGCAAAGACTGGTGCCGGAGTTCCTTCGGACTTCAGCTCCTCACTCCGTCAGACCAAGACCAATGATAAAATCGGCGCCGGAGTTGGCCTCGCCAACTTCAATTCGTTTCCTTCCTTAGCCGTTCTTGATCAAAACCTCTTCTTTTTCCTGCAACATCAAAACAATACCAAATTCAGTAACTCTACACCATTGTGGGTGCAAAAAGATATAACTAGTTCGTTACAAAACTACCCATTTAATGACAATTCACACACTGTCACACCGTGCGTGTGCTTAAAGGAAAGTAAGCAACCTATTACAGAAAGGAAGTGAAGGGGGGGAGAGGGAAAGGCATAAGATGCTAAAAGATTTAAGGCTACAGCCTTCTCATTTGATGCTTAATAAAGTAATATGAATTCAAGTATCCTGTAAGGCTAAAAGAAGTAAGGCAGTAAGGCTTCTTTGTTGCTTCCACAGATTTGCTATTACAGATCATGTATGGAAGTGGAGCTGGCTTCAATCACGACACCATCATTATCACGTCTGGGAGTGGATCTTACGTTCCTTGAAGCTGGTAGCACTTGCACAGAGCCACTCTCTCCCTCTATTTGTTTGATTTTATTTTTGGACCCTTTTATGGTGGTTGGACGGGTAATGGTGGCTTCAAGTGTACTCAATGAATTAAGATGGGAAACAAGGAAATTTGTGCAAAAACTTCCACATTTTCATCTTATGACTCCTTATGTTGATTTTGGTCTGAGACAGTGAGAAGGCCAGAGATATTGGTATTGTTATGAACATCAAAATCACTTGTTCATTTGGTCCTTCATGTTTAACAATTAGCCATTAACCCGGTATTGGGATCATGCACTACCGATGATCACCAAATTAATGCCATTTTTGAAGCACTACAGATGATCACCAAACCAATGCCATTGATGAAGTCTGCATTTGTACTCTCTATTCTTTCCAAAGAATGGCACCTTCAGCTTTGAAGACATTTGGAAGCGCCTAAAGGATTGGCTCTATGAAGAAACCTGGTGCATATGGTCTAATTTACTGTTAGCTTTGTCATTTATATAATATTTTTACAGTTATCCCAATTTTAGCCTAGAAAATTGGCTGTGTTTCCGCACCCATAGATTTTCTCATATTCCTGTCAAAGTTGTCAAAAAAAAAAAAAAGATAAAGATTAGCCCCACATTGGTACAGAGCTACCAATAAAAATGAGGGACAAATATGATAACTTTCTCCTCGATAGAGTGATTCCTCGATGAGATATCCCAGTAAGTTGTCTTCATTTGCCACAACTGAAGTTGCTGGGAAACTGTGGTCACAATTTTTTATTTACTACGGCACCATTTCTCATGTGAATGAGATGGCGTTTTGCGACACTTACCCAATACGATATGTATATAGATAAAACCATTGTTTATCTGGAAAAACAAGCGGCAGCATATTATTGTGGGCAAGAAAAGTGAAAAGCATATTCTTTAGAACAAACCTTTGTTTTGTGGGCAAGAAAGTGAAGGGCTGCTATTGTCAGTGAAGTATCTCGTCTCAGATATTCAGTAGTGACTGTCACAAATCTGCTTGCATTGTAGTATATTCTTAAAGAAATCCCACCAAATTTTGCATTTATTGTGATAAATTTGCTGATATTTGACTACAAGAGTGGACTAAGAGGCGGTTTGTTAGGGAGGCGCCTGACGTTTGCTGGAGCTTCTTGAAATAGAGCTGATCAACAATAGGTATTTTTGAATTCAAGGAAATTGAAAAAAAAAAAAAAGGAAGAATAAGTTGATTAATTATTCCATTTCCTCTGCTGTTTATATATTCTGTATGTTGAAGGAAAATTATAAAACAAGGGAATGAAAGAAAGAGTTGCAGATCAAAATCAGTTTCTTATTGTTTGATACCTTATGCATGTTTGGGTTTTTACTTATTGTGTCAGTTTCTTGGTTGTTTGATACTTCCTTGTGGTTATTGAAACTATAATCATCTCAAAACTAATAAAAAGGTAAAAGAGCTTCCATGGTTTAGCTTTTTTGTTCTCAAATAAATTGCTAATCCATTGCTAATCGCAATTTGCCTAATCTGAACAAAATACAAATAATAATAACATAAAAATGATAGCCATGGATCATGGAAAGTGACCCTTTTGGTTTTAGCCATTTAGCTTAGGATTGGAAATCTCTAAACTTAGACCAGCCTGGTTGGATTTTAATCTCTAGTCACCATTTTCTTCTGAGTGATGTTTCTTGTTTTATTCGTTTTGGTGCTGCGCATATTTGGATTTGATTCAATATTGTAGTGCTACAGATTGATTTTCTTTCATAATTTTTTTTTTTCGTAATTTCAAGTTTTCTGATCTGCTGCTAATGGCGATCTGCCCATCTGAAATTACATTACATTTCGAATTGCTCGTTCAAATTTACTCTGTTTTTCCACCAAAAAATAGAGGAAAGAAAATCACTAATAACTTAGGCAAAAGTTTTGGCACAAGGAAAAACTGTTCAAAAAGTTTCTCATATTTTGTCAAATGATTTTTTGCCCTTTAACTTTAAAATGTTAATTTGACATTCCTTATAAATTTAAGTTAGTGAAATTTGGTCCAGCATAATTTTCCAAACATTTTTTAGCCTGAAGTCACCATCTGATCTACATACAATCATTTTTTATGTACAAAAATGTTATATCCCACTTTTTTAATAGCAAAATGAGTATGAATTTGTCAAATCTCACTTTTTAGGTGACAAAATGAATATGATTTGGATGCATCCTATTTTTTTGGGGAGCAAAAATAAATATGGACTAGGTGTTTGTTTGACTATAAATGGAGTTTAAACTTTTTTAACCCTAAAAAAGTGATCATATATGGGTCACGTGATAGATTCATGATCAAGGATGAGTAAAAACGTAAGTTGGATCAAAATTTTATTAATTTAATTTTTCAAGGGACGCAAAGTTATTATTTTTAAAGTGAACGATGAAAAAATTCATTTAAAAATGTGACTGACATTTCAAAATACATACGGAAAAAATAAAAAATAGAGAGACTTTATTAGATCATACGAAAGTTGTAGATTTTGAACATCAATAGCTACTAAAGACAGAAAATCTGATAGCGAGTGAAAAGCAGGTACCATGATGAACAACTCCTCCAGCAAAAGAACTATTTGCTGGGATTGTGCTTTAGATTATGTGAAGCACCGGTCTCCTACGAATGATCTAAAGATGGGGATACGTCTATTGGAGACCTTTGATCTGTATATTAGAAAGTGTAAGAGGAGAAGGTGCAAGCAGGGTGCGTGTTTGGAATGTGATAAGGAGGACGAAGGTGATGCCAAGTCTGAAATTTTGAGACTTAACAGTATTTCGCTCAAGTTTCAGATCTGGACCATCTTGTTAGGGGGATAACAGATGGACTTGACTCTGCTCTTTCTAGATATATTCAGTCTGGTGCATTAGATTTTAATGCCGTTAGATATGATCTCGAAGAAAGTATGAGGCAGTTTTTTGAAACAGACATCAAGGAATTGACATCATGTTGCTTTACTACTCGCTGGGAGATCCACAACTAGTTATGGATTTCATTGATTCCATTTCAGTGAATCTGGTGGCGCTTCTTCGCTACAGAGAGTCCTTCATATTTGATGAAGTTCTGGAAGCTGTAATGGAAAACCTTCAAGAGAAGCTATGTTCTTGAAAAGTTTCGTTCGCTTTGCAACAATACAAGGCGTTGAGGGTCAGCCACTGATAGATCTGTTGGTTCACGTTGAAGTTGTGGCTGTCAATGCTGCAAGCCTGGCTTCTACATTTTGGTTTCGAAGAAACAATAGAGGAATATGCAACGAAATGGAATTTGAAATTTCTCAATTAATACACAAGACGGTTGATCCCCAAGTACGAAAGATTTATACCCATGTCCTGGAAGCTTCCAAGTTATCAAGATCATCCTGCACTTTAGCTCTGAACGAGAATAGGCTTCTAGTGGCTGAATTTATTGATTATCTCCTGCGAAGTATCATGGGAAACATATCAGAATGTTATACCAGTTTCCTGGTAATAATGAAGGATCAAATGCTAAAACTCCTCGAGGGAGTAAGATTCCTGAGTATCCTTCTAAGCCTACGGCAGGAGAAGTTCGATGAGCTAAATGATGAGATGAAGGATCTCATTGGAGCTGTGGTCTCTGATGCAGGTATTGTGAGTTTCTCCCTTTTTGTGAATGAAAAGAAAGAAGGCTTGCACAGGGACATAGATCCGGCACTTTCTGATTTGCTCGAAGTGCTCAAGTTGATCATTGCAAAATCTGCACACGTTTATCCAGAAACATCGTCATCATCACCACTTAGTTTCCCTAAGACTAACGAGCTGGGCTCTCTTGATCGTCTTCTAGAAGCTCTCAAGGAACTACTGAGTTCAACAGCTGATTCAATTGCTTTTCCAAATGATCAAATCAACACAATCCTAAAGGATCTTTTATTCTTAAGATCTTTCCTAGGAAATATTGTGGAGAAGCGCAATGGAGATGAAAAACTCCAAGCTTTCTGGAGTCGTGTCATGAATGTTGCATACAGTGCAGAATTAGAAATTGACTCTGCACTACTTGGTGATAAACGTTTGGATGCTATTGCTGGAGATATCCACTTATGAAGATTGAGGCCAAAGAGATCTATGATAGCATTAGATTTGATAGTGAAATCCAGAGAGTTACCAAGACTACTATTAACATGCCATCACAAGTTACTGCTCCAATATCCAATGAAGTTCTGGTGGGTCTCAATGATGAGGTAGAAAGTATAATTGATAGACTTGTGAGTGGACCTTTGCAGCAGGATATTGTTGCCATTGTGGGCATGTCTGGGCTTGGTAAGACAACACTAGCCAATAAAGTTTACAGTCATCTTTCGGTAGAGTACCACTTCCACATTCGAGCTTGGTGTTGTTTTTCTCAAGTTTATACCAAGCATAGTTTGTTGGCTCAGATTTTGTGTAGTATCAATTGTGGAAGTTCTGTCCAGTATCTTGAGATGAATGAAGATGATATGGCTGAGAAGGTATACAAATTGTTGAAGAGAAATAGGTATCTCATCATTTTGGATGATGTTTGGGACATTATGGGGTGGGATTTGTTGAAACACTCACTACCAGATGATTGCAATGGAAGCAGGATTCTCTTAACCAGCAGATTTCAGAAATTGTGTTGGCAAATTAAACCTGGTAGTGAGCCTCACCATCTTCGCCCACTTACAGAAGATGAGAGTTGTGAATTGCTGCAGAAAAAGCTATTTGCCAAAGAAGATTGTCCTCCAGTATTAGGTAAAGTTGTAATGCATGTAGCAAAGTACTGTAAAGGCCTACCTCTGACAGTTGTTCTTGTTGCTGGAATTCTTGCTACTACTGAGCAAGATTGCTGGGAAGAAATTGTAAGACGTCTAACTTCCAGCATTTATGTTGACAATGAACATTGCATGAAGACACTTGAGCAGAGTTACAATTATTTACCGGATTATTTGAAGCCATGCCTTCTTTACTTCAGTGCATTTAAAGAAGACCAAGACATTCCCGTCCGAAGATGTTATGGCTTTGGATCTCTGAAGGTTTGTGCAAGAGATCGAAGGAAAGAGTTTAGAGGATGTGGCAGATGAGTATTTGATGGATTTGATTGGGAGAAGTTTAGTTATGGCTACCCAACATAGATCTTTAGGTGGGATCAAAGCTTGCCGGATCCATGATTTGATACATGAGTTTTGTGTGGCGAAAGCTAAAGAAGAAAGTTTTCTACAGATTTTACATGAGGATGACTTTTCAACATGTACTCGACCATGTAACCCCCACCGACTGTCTATTCACCCCAGCATCCCACATATAAACCATGTGACTAGGATTGAGGGGCTGTCTTTTCCCAATTTGCATTGTTTGCTCTTCGTTGGAGATAGACCTACACTGCTGGAAGAGAGTTCATACAAATTCCTATTGTGTAAACTTCTTAGAGTGTTGGATTTGCAGAATTGTTCTTATCCGACTTTATCGTTTCCAAGGGAAGTAGTATTCCTTGTTCACTTGAGGTACCTGAGAATTAGAAATTTTTTGGGGAATATCCCATCTGCAATAGCTAGCCTCTCAAGGTTAGAAACTTTTGCAGTGGAAGGAAACCCTAGACGTTATTTGTTACCAAACACTATCTGGAACATTAAAACATTGAGGCATCTTGTCACATCAGAGTTTGGAGGTGGTTTCATATTTCCCATCGACGGTCTTGAAGGCTCCCCTGATTTGAAACATTTAGACACCTTAACCCTTGCAATTGAGGCCCCTCCTCAAAACTTGCAAAAGATATTGTCAAAGTTACCGAGCATCCGTAGCTAACAATAACATCTGTTGGAAATCACGGTGGGATTCTCGTGTTGAACTACTTGAGTCGACTAGAGTCACTTAAGATAAGAAGGTTTGACAGATATGAGTTTGAATTCCCATTGAATTTGAAAAAGTTGACTCTCTCAGATAATTGTCAGCCATGGAGTAAAATTTCAGCAATTGGAAAGCTACCCAACCTTGTAGTGCTTAAATTATACCGTGATTCCTTTCTGGGGGAAAAATGGGAAATGGAAGAAGGGGATTTCTGTAACCTTCGATTCTTGAAATTGTCAGAGTTGGACATTCGCTGGTGGACAGCCTCTTCTGGTAATTTTTCCTATCTTGAGAAATTGGTTTTGGAATTGTTAAGGCTGAAAGAGGTCTTGTTTAGGGAAAGTGTCACTCTTGGCTTGATCAAGGTGATAAGCCAGTCTGTTGTAGAAATTCTGCAGCAAATTCTGCCAAGAAACAAATGGGAAATAAGGGCTTAAAGATCGTTAATACTAACGAAATGAAAATTGGGATGGTTACTTTTATTCTTAATGACAACTCAGAAAGAGAGTCCTATTTCCTCTCATCACATTTTGCAATGGTGAACCATTGATGCATCTTCTTCAATTGGCAGAGAGTCAAAGCAGAGAAGAATTCCACTCATTAGGTTAGACCTACTTCCACAGTACTAATTGCGTATGTTGAATCAGTTCAATGATATAATCATTCATATTACACAAAGCAATTTCTGGCGGTTTGCAATTCTTTTGTTTGAATAGTCATGCATTTATGGAATCAAAACTATCTATAAGATATTCTTGTGATGTGTTCTCCCCGTTCCCTTTTTTTGTTTTAATGTTTGTTAATGTATAAAATAATCATCCCAATTTCTAAAATCTTCTTCAATATGGCTACAGATTGGTATGATCCTTAAAACCGGCTGAGCACAAGCATAAATGTCAGGTACACACACATTTTTATTTATTTTATACATATCAGCTTAAGTAATGCAGACTAGCTTTCTTTTCTTGAAGCAAATAGCTGTATGCCCTGAGACCTCCTTTTTCCTTTTATCGTTTTTTCTTAAATGCAAAGAATGCTGTGTGCTCTTGTGACCTTTTGTCTGGAATATGTGTATATGGTTAGTGACAGCTTGCAAACATGAGGAATTTTTTTTCAGTTTTTCTTTCTTTTTTCTATTTTTCACCGTCTAGACATATGCGTTTGTTCCTGCTTATGTCATTGTTTTTTTCTTGAAGATGAACCCTGTTAGATGGTTCTAATAAGTACTATTTTCTGTGTGCTTACTCTTCAGTAATAATTTGCTTGAACAGATATTTCATGGATTCTTGTTTTCCTATCTCACTGATTTAGCAAAAATGTGCTGAAGGTTTCTCGGGTGGAGGAAATTCAAACTTGATGAAAAGATGTATTACAGGAAACTCTTTAAGTTTTTATACTGTTATTATGTTCTTCATCTGACTTGGTATGCATTCTTGCTTCCCATTTGCGATTAGTTGGTAAAGTTGCATCTTCAACAGGTGGCTTGAATATATCAATATCAGTCTGATTTTGTATCAATATCTTTGGCTTGTGCAGTTTCAATGAGTGTGTGTGTGTGCGGGTGTGTGGGGAGAGAGCAAGAGAGATGATGGCCATTTTCAGCTTTTTCACAAATCATGTATACAGCATTTTGATTTAATTTCTGCACTTTAATTTAAGCACATCTATTGTGATTCATCCTAGGAGCGATTCTGCTGCATTTTTTAGAGTACGCTGCATCAACACTTCAGATTTATCCAGGTCCAATATTTGTTGGTTGCTTATCAAAGAGGGAAGAGAAGATGTTTCAAGAAGGGAAAAAATACAAAAAAGAAAAAAAAAAAAGATGGAAGAGAAATATATCATCCCAAATTCTGAAATTTTCTCAAATTAGTTTCAGATGTGTATGATCCTTAAAACCAGCTGAGCACAAGCACAAATGACAGGTATATTTTTCAATTTCTTTTATGTATTGCAGCAAAGGCAATGCAAACTTGGTTTCTTTTCTTAATCAACTAGCTGAATGACAGAGACTTTCTTTTATGTATTGCAGCATAGGCAATGCAATACCTGTACATTGGTTAATGCCAGCTTGAAACACAAGAATCTTAATTTCAGTTTTCCTTTTTCTATTTTGTACCATCTAGATGTATGAGTTTGCTCGTGCTTATCTCCGCTTTTCGCCAGAGCTTTTGTTTAACATGGTCTCATTGTATGCTCTAAACTATGTGAACTAGTTCTACTTCAGAGCTGACCATTAGCCATCTTCTTTTGACACCTTCACACACATAAAGAAGCCAAAACGAAAAAATTTCAACGTGTTGAAGTTCGAATATATTCTTTAATTCATGAAGATGAACCCTGTTAAATGGTTCTGGCAAATAGTATTTATGTGTGTGTAATCTTCAGTACTGATTTGCTTTGAGATTTTTCATGGATTCTTAATTTCACGTCACTGATTTTGCAAAAAGATGCTGAAAGTTTCTGGGGGTGGATGAAATGATGAAGGCATTTTAGACTTGATGAAAGGAATTATTACCAGATAAAAGGATGTATTACCAGAAAATCTTAAGCATTTACAATGTAACTGTGTTCTTTAGATTTGCATCTTGAACAGGTGGCTTTGAATCTTAGTATCGAAATTAGTCTGATTTAGAATCAATATCTCTGGCTTGTGCAGTTTCAATGAGTGTGTCTGAGAGAGAGACACAGAGAAAAAAAGCGAGAGAGAGAAACCATGTAAACAAGTTTCAACTTTCAGCACTTAGATTAATAAAAAAGTTTTGATTTAATTTCTGCACTTTAATTTAAGCATAGCTATCGTAATTTATCCTATGAACGAATCTGTTGCATTTGTATGAGAATAAGCTCCATCAACACTTCAAATTTATCCAGGTCCAATCTTTGACGGTTGCTGATCAAAGAGGGAAGTGAAGTTGTTTGAAGGAAAAAGAAAAAGATGGAAGAGGATCATTTCCTAACTTTTGCTCATTGATCAACAGCCAGCTAATGGAAAAGGAAACCAGTGAAAAGCAGGAATACCCCAACAGCATGAATATCACGAAGAAGTGGACGTAGCGTTTAACATGCCATGATTCCACTACCATGATTCCTGTCAACGCATTGGCAAGTTTGAACTAGTTTGCTTTCTAACGCTTGTGAAGGTGAACTACTTTCCGTAAATTATAAGTTGCTGCTAGGTAGTTGTGCATCCTCCTCTAAGAATGGCTGTGAAAGATTGTGCGCAGCATGTGCTTCTCTCTCTCCCTCTCTCGCGTCTTTTGGGGGTTGAAAGGGGGATGGTAAAGAGGTAAGTAAGGGGCAGTGGAAATTTATTTAGAAGATAGTCTGACGGTCATTGTTTGGATCAAAAAGTGATGCCCAAAGCTGCCACATTTTCTGTCTTGTGCCATTTGACATTTGATCTGAAATAGTTAGAGAGCCAGAAATAATATTGAAGCTAAACTGGCACCTCTAAAGTGGTTTGTTCATGTCTTATTCTTTATTGCTCAAAATTGTAAAGAAGATGATGAAAGCCATCTATTAAGGTTTTTTTTTTTTTTTTTAATGTTTCCATTGGCATTCAATCAAAAGATGATCAAAGCTAAACTGGCGCTTCGTGTTTGGTGGTCTACATATGTACCCTGTTCTTTTCTATGAAAAGACATTTGGAAGCACTCAAATCATTGGTCCTATCTTTTGCTGATAAAACTCGAGAGCAGATGGTCAAATTTAGTCTTAGCTTTCTGATTCACCAATGCATTTACATTTTCCCCAGTTGAATGTTATCGTGGGCTTTTATTCTTCTGTTCTATTTCCTGTTCTATTTATGGTGGGCAAAATTATCCGCTAACCCAAAAACCTACTATATCCGATCTGATTCGAATCGAAAATTATGGCATCCGATCTATATTATTTGATCGGATCAAAGAGAGTCAAATACTCGCTAAGATGCGGGATGGGTTAAGGTCACATAATTAAAAACCTGCAGGTACTCGACCCGTCCCGCGTGTATATATTTTTTATTTTTATACAAATACTATAAAATAATATTTTTAGAGCTAAATACATAATTTTATTGAACAAATTGTATTACAAATATAAGAGACTATAGTTTATTTACACGATTCATTTGTAGAAATCATAATCTTATGTTTTTATAGAAAAGAGTTTAATTAATGTGAAACATATATTTAAAAAATGTGCTATTTATTTCAAACTTTTATTGATTTTAATTTCTTTTATTTTTTTTCCTTTTCTTGTATTCTCTTTGCATACTTGTTTTTTGGTGGGAGATTTTTTTGAGAAACAAATCTTTATTAAATCTTAGATGAATGTCTGAAATACAAAATTATATTAGTAAATTATTTTTTAAACAATTAAATAATAAGTATAGTGGGATGGATACCCGTTGACTCGAACTTATCTTAGCGGGTATCCTATAATCGGATATCCGCTAATATGCGAGATGGATAAGGGTTAGAAAATGGCTGAACTACACGGTGCGGATTGATCAGTCAAATGATGAACGGGACGGGTATCCAATTCCCGCCCACCCTAGTTCCATTGCCTTGGAGAGTTGAGAAGCATCATTTACATGAAACTTGATTCCTTTCTGCACGTCCTCCAAGAAAGAGCATTAGGAAAAAAAATAGATAATGGAAATGTAGTAGAAGGCTTTTGCCTGTAATTGTCAGGTATAGATGCTCCAATTCGCTATTTTTTTCCTTGTAATCATGGTTCACTGTCACGGGTCTCGGTAGCTTCGCTATCACGGTTGTTCCACATCCGTCACGGTATATCGGCTAAGTATCAGGTGATACGCACATTATAACACATAAAATTTTTTTTAAAATTTTGAAAAAATTACTAAAATTAGAAAATACCAAAAAAGGCACAATCTGAAAAAATGCCCTTGTCGATTTTGAGTGAACTCGAATATTTTGGTCGATACTATGCATCACGGATTTGAATTAGCAATATCGAATAAGATATTTTGGCATGCATCACGGACATGGTATCGGCCAAAAGATTTAGGGTGCGTTTGGTTTTACAGAATTGGAATTGAATTGGAATTGAAATTCTATAGAATTAGAATACTATGAATTGGAATTCCAAAACATTGTAATTCTTTTGTTTGAGAAATGCATAGAATTGATACAGAATTCATTTCGAATCCCAAATTCTTTGTTTGGACGGGAGAAGAATTCATTAAGAATTAGAATTGTTTTCATCTAACATTTGCTTACATAAAATTTTCTTTTTTCTTTTTCCTCTGTAATAAATTTTTAACATTTAGCTAATTGTTACTAAAACTTCAAGGAAAAAACCAATTAGTGCCTTTAATAATTTATTTTTTCTTGCATTTAACTAATTGTTACTAAAGTTTTAAAGAAAAAGCTAATTAGTTCCTTTTCTAAAAAAAAATTCTTAATTAAATTATATTAAATAAAAACTAATTACATATTCTAGCTTAAAAAGTACATATTTATCAAGTTAAAACCTTGATATTTTTTTCTAAGTTAGGAACTTTAAATTTTAGAAAATTAAAAACCTACTCTATATTAAAGTATCAACTAACTGTCTCACCTGATCTTATGAAATTAAAATTGACAGTGCGATTATTAAAGTTATGAGCAAGAACATAGAGAAACATTGCAACTGCTTCTTCAACTGTAATATTTATAATATCCCTCAACCCACAATGCTCACTTAAATTTGTACATAAAACAGTAAAACAATGTTTATTGAGTCGAAGTTGCTCTACATAAACTCTGTTGTTTCCATAATAAAGACGCCAAAGATATATTTCACGTGCTACTTTAAAGTCAAAATAAGGCTCCTTTACTATATGCAAGGAAAAAACATTATCCAAAGAAATACAGAACAGGTAACAACAGAAGCTTCGTTGCCTGCATTATCTCCTATGTAAAGTATTTGACAAGTAACACTACAACATAAGAAAGAGTCACAAGTTTCTCTCAGGCTAAGGTAGAAGTTGTCACCACACTTGAACATGAAGGAAACGAGGTCAGGTAATATACATAAGGCCACACCAAAAAGAGATTTAACACTTATTCACAAAGTTTGTAGCATTTTTTCTAAAAACCACAGCAGTTGACCACCATTTCCAACATCACTTCTTCAGAAGATTGCGTGAGAAGATCTTCCTCCAGTAGGGACTGGTGCGCAGAATTTCGCTGTAAGGACAGATTGCCTCAACTAATAAAGTACGGAGAGGCCCCTGATGCAGAACAACAAAAGGTGCATAATTCTGGATTCAGCTCATTGACAAATGAATGAAGAATTAATGTGGTTAACGTCAGCTAAAACTGAGAAATTCAATACAAGAAGCAACTTCTCCAGCATCAAAGAGATCTAATCATGAAATTTGTAAGTCTCCAATGTTTCTTCATACATTGATCCACCTTTTGGCAAGAGCTCAAAGGCAAGTCTCCCATTTCATTTTCTATCGCCAGGACTCACTCACTATCTCAATCGAGTCATGTACACACATCCATGAACCATAAATAACATTCACAATTCAAGCTTATAATTTACATTGATAGAAATCGAGGTACAAAGCCTCAATACACCAAACTAGTTCAAAACGTATACAATCCAAGTACAACATGTTCCATTCGAGGAATAGCGCGAGTACAAGACCAAAAGTCAAAAGTCAAAACAAAAGGCTACGCTAGTCTTTTACAAGTCTCACGCGTCACTCGTACCCCCTGTAAGGAAAACAAATAGCGTGGTGTGAGCTAAAGCCCAGTGAGGTTCCAAATAGCAAATTGACCATTATTTATAAGTACTAGTTTTCGATATAGCAAAGTAACGAGCATGAAAA